GGTAACTGTGGGGCACTGTATGTAGACAGGGCAGGTCCAAGACTTCCTCAGTGCTCATGATTCTCTCAGAGCTGGGGTACGATGTAGGGAGTGGATATGTGGGATGGCCGGAGCAGTTTATTGCCCTGGGTAGCTTATTGGGGCCAGAGTTGGCTGCTTCATTGGAGGTTTTCTTGCTGTGGGCGTGTGAGTCACTCTCCAGGGATGGGGGGGAGAGCCCAGGAGATCTGGGGCGGGAGAAGAGAGAGGGGCCCTTTAGGGGGCCAGTGTCTCCATGGTGGAAGCTGGCGTATAGCAAAGATGACTCTCCTGGTTCTTCATCTCATGGGTGGAAAGGGCTCGTCTGTGGGACTGGGGCTCTGTAGTGGGAGATTTGGCAGAGTGTTGCCTCTAGGGCAGAGATCAGGGCATGGGGGCGTCCAAGCAAGGAGATGAGGTTGGTGGTGCTGTAGGCATTGAAGCCTCCGGAGTGTTGTCCCCACCCCAGAATCAGCTGCCACGGGAATCCTTCCATCCGTGGTGGCTCAGAAAGGAGCACGAGGGCCGGGGATCTTGGGCTTCTGCCATCGGGTGAGCGAATTAGGGGCTGGGGCTCCTCGCAGGCTGGGCCTATCGCTCCCTGGCCGTGACCCTCTCCCTGCCCCTCCCCACAGGCTCCTGGCCCAGTTGGATGAGGCGCTGGCTTTCGAGGGGCCGACCCGAGAGGAGCTGGAGGCGGAGCTGCCAGCCAAAGTCCTGGTGGAGCATGCTGTGGTGAGTGATGGGGCAGCGGGCCTCTGCCTTTAGGGGCACCAGCTCTGATCCAGCCCCAGGGGTGGGGACTGGCTGGCCCAGGCAAGTGGGGAATGGAACACGGGGCCTGTCCCCCCTAGGAGGCGCTGGCTCCCATCCTGTCCAGGGCGTGGGACTGGCTGACTCAGGGTGGGCAATGGGGCCTTTCCCCTCCAGGGGGCACCGGCTGTAATTTCCCCCTACCACGGCTCCCTAGGACACACGGAAGAAGCAGAAGTGGATGTGCAGCCAGCTCCACGTGGTCAAATTCCTGCTGGAATTCTTGGACCAGAGGGACTCCGCCCCCTTTGACCAGAAGACCAAAGAGGCAGCCGTCCGTGAGTAGCCCGGACTCCTGGGTTTTCACCCCAGAGTGGAGGCTAGAGTGGGTTAGAGCCATGGTGGCGCACAGCCAGGATTCATCGGTTTGATGCATTACCTCTTTCCCTCCTGCCACCCTCCCCGGCCCAGGGAGCGAGATGGTGCAAGCCAAGCAGCAGTGGAAGGAGCTGAAGGCTGGCTACCAGCAGCGGGTGGAAGCCATCGAGGGGGCAGTGCCCTGTGTGCTGGCCCAGCTGGAGAAGGGCCAGCACCTGGCGCAGCGGCTGAAGGAGGCTCTGGTGCAATACGAGGCCCAGGTATGGTCCTGTCCTGGGCGTGTGTGAATGTGGGGATCCCACTGTTGCCACCAGTTGCCCCGTGAGCTCCAGGGATTCTACTTCTGCCACCAGGTCCCCTTGGCCCTTGGGGGAGAGGCCCTGTGGTTTCCATCCCACTACTGCCACCAGCTCCCCAGGGATCCTACCACTGCCACCAACTCCTCTGGGGGGAGGGGCCCTGCAGTTCCCATCCCACTTCTGCCACTAGCTGCCTAGGCGGTCACAGGGACCCCAGCGTTGCCACCAGCTCCCCTCTCCCCACAGAGACATGAGGCTGAGAAGAAGGCAAGGGATGCCCGGGAGAGACGGCAGAAGGAGCAGGTACTGACCCAGGGGTCTGTGGGGGGACCTTTTGGAGCCAATCAGTGGGGGGAGAGGACAAGTGGGGGGTGGTTGGGACTATTCTAGGAAAGGCTGGTGGGTTGATTGTGGGAGGAGCAGTGGGACTGGTCAGAGCAGCAGCTGCCCCATTTCACTGTCCCGTTCTCCTCCCACCCCCCAATCCAGCAGCAGCTGGAGGAGCGGCAGCAGCAGCTGGAGGAGCAGGCGGCTTTGCTGCGGAGCCGGCTGGAGGCTCAGCGCCAGGAACTGCACCGGCTGCAGGGGGAGCTCCAGAGCCAGGAGTGTGTTGCCAGCGGCTGGAGGGAGAAGGTGGAGAGGTGAGAACCCAGGAGTCCTGGCTCCCAGCCTCCTCTGCTTTAATCACTAGACCTTCTTCCCCCCCCCCCCCGCCATGGAGTCGGGGATGGAACCCAGGCATCCTGCTTTCTCCCCCCAGGAGCTCAGCCCTCTGCCAGCTCTTGGAGACCCTCCAGGGGGTCCGGCTGGTCTCTGCCTCTGGTGATGAAATCGACATGGAGCTGACGCCCGGCCCCCAGCCGACGACCCCTGACCCCCAGGCAGCGACTCCCGACCCCCAGCCGCTGAGGCTCACCTTGTGCTGGGCGGAGGATGGGAGCGTCAGGGTGCGGGTGAGTAATGGCCTGGGGGCAGGGGGGCCAGGCTGGCTGGGTCTGACCCAGGAAGGGTTGGGGGGGCCAGGCTGGCTGGGTGGGACCCAGGGAGGGTTCGGGGGGGGGGGCCAGGCTGGCTGGGTGGGACCCGGAGGGGATTGCGGGGGCCAGGCTGGCTGGGTCTGACCAGGAGGTCGGTGTGTCTGTCTCTCTCTCTGCCCCACAGAGCCACAGTCCCCTCTTCCCAGCCCCCGCGCCCTGCGCTGACGTGCGGGGCACCGTCCTAGAGCTGCAGCACCGCTACCGCCAGCTGGCCCCACTGCTGACTGAGATCCAGGCCCTCCAGACCAGGTCTGTCCCACCCCCACCCCACAGCCCCCACCTGGTAGGGGGCAGCACTGATTTCCCCCTCCCTCCCTGCAGGTTCCCTATCGACTGGCAGCCCCAGGAGCGCCGGCTCCGCTTCCTGCAGCCCTCCGCCGTCTGGACGCTGGCGGTGGAGCCGGGATACGTGGGGAGTGGGGGCGTCCGACTGCTGGCGGTGCAAGGGCAGCATGGCCCTGGGGACCCTGGGGCCTGGAAGGTGAGTGGATGGGGAGAGATCTGGGAGACGGCCAGAGGCTGCGGGTCATGAGTGAGGGGCACCGACAGAGCTGGGGGGAGCCCAGGGCTGGGCTAGCAAGGGGCTGCGGGTCGGGAGTGAGGGGAACCGGCAGGGCTTGGGGTGGGGCAGGGCTGGGCTAGCACGGGGCTGTGGGTCGGGAGTGAGGGGCACTGGCAGGGCTGCGGGGGAGCTGACGGCTGGGCTAGTGGGGGGCTGCGGGTCGGGAGTGAGGGGCACCGGCAGAGCTGGGGGGAACCCAGGACAGGATTCCTGGATTCTATCCTTTGCTCGCTGCCCCTCCCTCTTTCCGTGCCTCAGTTTCCCCATCTGTTGACCCAGCCTCCCCCCCTCAAGTCCTCTAACCTGCCTCTCTCTCTCTCCCCTCCCAGCCCCCCCAGGAAACGCCATCCCTGCGTGAGTGGCTGGAATACCTGAGCACTCTGGACATCTGAGCACCCCTCTGGGCCCCAGAGCCCCTTGGGGGGGGGTTACGCTGCCCTGTAATAAACACACCTTTGTAAAGTGTTGTGATCACCCCTCATTGGGGGGAGCCCTAGATGACGGGCACCAGATGGGTTCCACAAGCAGCCCACGATCCACCCATGGGAGACGGATACTGACCCTTCCCCCCACCCTACAGCCCCAGTGCCCCCCGTCTGGATCGGGGCTGGCGTCCCCTAGAGGGGAAAGGCCCCGGGCCCCCATCCCCGCCCCCTTTGCTTTGTCCGGGAGCCTGTCCATATGTAGTTTCCCATCAGGCCACAAGGTGGGGCTCTTGCCCTATTCAGTTTTACTTGCTAACGGGGCATGGGGTGAGGTGCGTGTGTGTCTGTGAGCTCCCTGCCCCTTCTCAGATGGGAGGAGCCCAGACCTGACCCCCCAGCTGGGATCACCCCCCCCACCTCAACCAGGCATGTCTGAGAACCCCAAGGGGGGTGGGGCCTGGGATGGTGGGGGGCAGATGGAACTAGAGGAGTGGGGCAGGTTGATTTGAGATTGGGGGGGATGAGGTATGGGGGGAGAAGGATGGGGGTGAGGAGTGGGGGGTGGGGATAGGTTGGGGGGCAGTGCTGGAGAGAGAGGGGGCTGGGTGGGGATATGGGGGGGTGGAGATGGGTGGGAGCATGGGGGATGGAGGACTGGCTGCAGGGCGAAGGGGAGTTGGGCAGGGTGGGGGTGGAGACTTGGGGGTCTCTGTGAATTGGTGCCCTAGAGCTGAAGTTGACCAGCCCCCATGGACCCCACCACTGCTGCTGGACTCACTCCCAGTGACCCCTCCCCTGCTCCCCCCTGCCCTTTCCCAGCCTCCCCCTGGGTTTTTCTCTTCCACGATGAATATTTCAGGGGCTTGGGCTCTGTTCTCTGCCCCTCTGAATAAGCCAAGGCCCCCGCGGCTGCCGGGACTGGTGTGTGTGGGGGATGTTGCTGCCTGCAATTTCCAAGTGGTAAGTCTGTCCCTATCTACGGGTTGGGAGTCGGGGTATCTGGCCCAGGTAAGCCCTCCTTGTGGCGTTATGTGCGGCTGTTCCTCAGCTTTCCCGCCCCAGAGGTGGCTGCATCTCAGCGCTTGATGAGCCCCCTCCCTGCATACACCACTAAACCCTTGGCTGACGCTTTCCTATTGTTGCTATAACTCGAGCGCGTCAGCAGTGCTGGGGTTGTGGGGTTTCGATGGTCTGAGGCCGAGGATGGATACGCTGCCCCCACGGGCCCTGCTGCAGCCCATCCTCCCAGCCTGGGCCGTGCCGGCGCGGAGCCCACATTGGGACCGGGGGGGGGAGATAATGCAGTTTGCCTGCGGGGCCCATCTACTCCTGGCTGCTGTGTCTGGTGGGTTGAGTGCATCCACGCCTGGGAGGGACTGGACTCGCCTTCGCTTCCGCTTCAGGGACGCTTTTGTGCGGCTCAGGCAGAGACGCCAGTGATGGGGAAACAAGAGCTGGGGGGAGGAAAAGGAGAGAAGGAAGAAAGCAAGTGAGGGGGACAGAAGGAGGGAGGAAAGGAAGGTAAAGGAAAGAAATGATAGAAAAGGCGAGACAAATGAAAAAAGGGAGTCAAGCAGGAAGAGGGGTGAGTGACGGAAGGAAGGGGAGAAAAAGTGAGCGATACAAAAATGAAGAGATGTGAGTGGTACAGAGAAAAGAAGAAGTGAGCGACAGAAGACGCGAGTAATAGAAGAAGGGAGTGGGAGAAGCCAGCAGGAAAAGGAAGGAAGGAAGCGAGCGATGGGCAGAGAGGGGTGAGGAAGCGAGTGAGAGGAGGAAGGAAGCAAGGAATGGGAGGAGAGGGATGAGGAAGACGTGAGTGGGAGGAGGAATAAAGCGAGTGATGGAAGGAGAAGGGTGAGGAAGAAATGAGCAGAAAAAGGAAGGAAGCGAGCGATAGGCGGGTGAGGAAGAAGTGATGAGAGGAGGAAGGGAAGCGAGCGGGAGGAGGAAGGAACCGAGCGATGGGAGGAGGGGGTGAGGAAGAAGTGAGCAGGAAAAGGAAGGAAGCAAGCGATAGGAGAAGGGGGTGAGGAAGAAGCGAGTGGGAGGAGGAAGGAAGCGAGTGATGGGAGGAGGGTGAGGAAGAAGTGAGCGGCAGAAGGTAGGATGCGAGTGATGGGAGGAGGAGGGTGAGGAAGAAGCGAGCAGGGGAAGGAAAGAAGTGAGCGATGGGAGGAGAGGGATGAGGAGGAAGCGAGCGGGAGGAGGAAGGAAGCAAGTGATGTGAGGAGGAGGGTGAGGAAGAAGCGAGCAGGAGGAAGGAAGCGAGTGATGGGGGGAGAGGAGGGGAGGAAGAAGTGAGCGGGAGAAAGAAGGAAGCAAGCGATGGGAGGAGAAGGGAGGAGGAAGAAGTGAGCGGGAGGAGGAAGGAAGCGAGCTATGGGAGGAGAAGGGAGGAGGAAGGAGCGAGCGGGAGGAGGAAGGAAGCAAGCGATGGGAGGAGAAGAGTGAGGAAGAAGCTAGCGGGAGGAGGAATGAAGCGAGCGGGAGAAGGAAGAAGTGAGCGATAGGAGGAGGGCGAGGAAGAAGCGAACAGGAGAAGGAAGGAAGCGAGCAATGGGAGGAAAGGGGTGAGGAGGAAGTGAGCGGGAGAAGGAAGAAGTGAGTGATAGGAGGAGGGCGAGGAAGAAGCGAACAGGAGAAGGAAGGAAGCGAGCGATGGGAGGAGAGGGATGAGGAAGAAGCAAGCGGGAGAAGGAAGAAGTGAGTGATGGGAGGAGAGGGATGAGGAAGAAGCGAGCGGGAGGAGGAAGGAAGCGAGCGATGGGAGGAGAGGGATGAGGAAGAAGCGAGCGGGAGGAGGAAGGAAGCGAGCGATAGGAGGAGGGCGAGGAGGAAGCGAGCGGGAGAAGGAAGCGAGCGAAGGAATATAGCCTGTGGGGAGAGGATGGGAGGGGCCCAGCCGGGGCTGAGGAAGTGGAGTAGAAAAAGCTCTGGGGTCCTGGCCTGCTCCCGTAACGGACCAGCCGGACTCGTTAGCCAGTGTTGGGGGTGGGGGCGGAAAGCTGGGCAGAGAACCCAGGAGTCCTGGCTCCCAGCCCCTGTAAATAAATCAAGGCAGCACTGTAGAAAAACACAGGTTTATTCTGCTCCTGCCCCCCCCAGTTCCCCCTCCCAGCCCCCCCATGGCTCTACAGCCCCCCTCACGTTATGTTGGTCTGGGGGTCGGCTCCGGGTACCCCACGTTCCTGGCTCCGGGTACCCCACGTTCCTCAGCATGGGGAGGGGCCTGGCAATGACAAAGAAGAGAGTATTAGAATCACTGGGACACTAGGCAGCCAGCCAGGACCCGGACGCCTGGGTTCGCTTCCCGGTTGTGGGAGGGGAGGGCGGTCTAGTGATTACAGTGGATGGGGGGCTGGCAGGAGCCAGGACTCCTGGGTTCTCTCCCCAGCCCTGGGGGGGGAAGTGGGGGGTCAGGTTTGCTCTAGTGGATGGGGGGGACAGGCAAGAGACCACCTGGTGGGGGCGGGAAGGGAGACAGAGCTGGGAAGAGAACCCAGGAGTCCTGGCTCCCAGCCCCCTCACTCTAACCATTAGGTCACACTCCATTTTTGTGCCTGTGATACCATCCACCCTCGCACATTTGTTGCACAAGCCTCATGACCCGTGTGCGCTCCTCTGAGCCTTTGCACGCTTGCCCCACAATGGATGAGGTCCGGGTGCCCCAGCCAGCCCCCTCGCACGCTCCGAGGCCTGGCCGTGCAGCAGACTGCACTGGGGGTGAGCTGGGGGCGCTGGCTGGGGCCAGGGTGGGCTCATTGCACACTCAGCACGCCCTGGCCTCAGCCCACCTGCACCCATCGCACGAGCAGCACGACTGACCGGCTTCTCCAGGGGCCACAGATGCTGCACAAATGAGGGTCTAGAGGTTAGAGCAGGGGGGGCTGGGAGCCAGGACTCCTGGGTTCTCTCCCCAGCTCTGGGCGGGGAGTGGGGTCTAGTGGTTAGAGGAGGGGAGCTGGGAGCCCGGACTCCTGGGTTCTCTCCCTGGCTGTGGCAGCGTGGGAGGGAGGCAATACCCATGTACCCGCTATTTGCTGGCCGGGGCCGCATCAGCCCCGTTCTGGCGCTCGCTGCCCTTCTGCGAGAGGCGGGTGGAGGCGCTGACGGCCGTGGCCGCCGCCTTGAAGCTCCGCTTGCGTTTGGCCATGTTCTGCTCGGGGTGGAAGATGATGACGTAGACCTTGGGCACGTAGAGCATCCCCAGGGAAACTGAGGCACTGAGGCTCATGGACACCGTCAGCGTCGTCGTCTGGATGTAGATCTGCAGGAGGGGGGCAGAGAACGGGGCGTTCAGGGTGGCTGGCGCAGAGCTCGTCCCTTCCAGCAGGGGGTGCTGGGAGCCAGGACGCCTGGGTTCTCTCCCCTCCCTGTCTCCAATTCCAGCCCCTGGGCTCCCTCCGCTCTCCCAGACACCTGGGTCCCTTCCCCTCTCTCGCTCTCTCTCCAACTCCAGCCCCTCGACTCCCCGGACTCCTGGGTCCTCCGGCCCCCGTGCTCCCCCGCCCGGGGCCCGCAGACCTTCTCGGCGGACTGGGCGGTGCCGAAGAAGATGGGCACGAAGGCCAGCCAGACGATGCAGGTGGTGTACATGGTGAAGCCGATGGGCTTGGCCTCGTTGAAGGTCTCGGGCACGCCGCGGGCCTTGACGGCGTAGACGGTGCAGGTGACCATGAGCAGCAGGCTGTAGCCCAGGCAGGCGATGAGCGACAGGTCGGACATGTCGCACTTGAGCACCCCCCGGGCCGCCTCGGGGTTGGGCACCCGCTGCTCCTCGTAGTCGATGACGCTGTGGGGCGGCAGGGCCCCCAGCCAGGCCAGCGTCCCCACCAGCTGCACGGCGCTCAGGCTGAAGGTGATGGCCAGCTGCGAGGTGGGGCTGATGAACCGGGGCGGCGTCACCGCCTTCTTGCCCTGCTCGAAGATGCGGTAGATGCGGTTGGTCTTGGTGAGCAGGGCCGAGTAGCTGAGGGCCATGCCCAGCCCCAGGAAGAGGCGCCGGGCGGCGCACACCACCACGCCCGGCTCGGCGATCATCAGGAAGGTGATGGCGTAGATGAGGAAGATGCCGGTCAGCAGCACGTAGCTCAGCTCCCGCCCCGAGGCCCGGACGATGGGCGTGTCGTTGTGGCGCACGAAGGTGACCACCACGAAGGTGGTGCCCAGGATGCCGCCCATGGCCAGGCAGACGGGCAGCACGGCCCAGGGCGAGCTCCACTCCAGCTTGACGATGGGCGTGGGCCGGCAGGCCGTGCGGTTGGGGCTGGGGCGCATGTCGAAGGGGCAGGTCTCGCAGGTGAACTCGTCCAGCTGGTACTGGTACCCGTCGCAGAGCTCGCAGTGCCAGCAGCAGGACACGCCCTTCACCATCTTCTTCCGCTCGCCCGGCCCGCAGGGCAGGCTGCAGACGGACGAGGGGATGTCCTGCTGGCCCCCGGACCACTGCATCTCCTCGATCTGCCAAGGGAGAGCGCGGGCAGCAGCTGGCTCTGGGGAACGGCCACACGTCACGCCACCCGGGGATGCCTTGCCTGAGGCTGAGATGCAGGCACCTCCTGGGAG